CTAACCCTAACCCTAACCCTAACCCTAACCCTAACCCTAACCCTAACCCTAACCCTATCTACTAGTAGATAACTTTAGCTTAACTTAGGCTTATCTACTAGTAAACAACTTTAGCTTAACTTAGGCTTATCTACTAGTAGATAACTTTAAGTTTAATACCTAAGTTTATCTACTAGTAAATAACTTTAAGTTTATTTACTAGTAGATAACTTTAAGTTTATCTACTAGTAAATAACTTTAGCTTAACTTAGGCTTATCTACTAGTAGATAACTTTAGCTTTAATACCTAAGTTTATCTACTAGTAGATAACTTTAAGTTTATCTACTAGTAGATAACTTTAGCTTAACTTAGGCTTATCTACTAGTAGACGACTTTAGTTAGAAAAAAACCCTATTTTTTCTAACCCTTTACCCTAACTACTAGCATGGTTTAGCTACTATTATATATTAAAAGACCTTAAGGTTAAAGATAACCTTAATATATTTAGGCTAAGAATAATAGTCTTTATTATCCTTACTAACCTAAAACTATTAATATTCTATATAGTTATTAAAAAAGTATTAATATTTAATCCTAATAGCCTATAGTAATATAGGTATATCTTTTAATACTAATAACTTAATCCTTTAGCTATTATAAATATAAAGGTTAACTTATTAATACTCTTACTTAAGATACTTCTATATAATATACTTTAAGGTAGTAATAAATCTATATAGTAAGTAAAATAGGCTATTAATATATAGTAGTTTAAGCTACTTAAAAGATTAAGAGTATAAGTTAGGTTTAACTATAATAGTAACTTAAGATTAATTTTATATTACTTCTATATACTACTATATTACTATAAGGATTTCCTTATATTACTTAATAAAGAATTCTTTATACTAATATTAAAGATAATTATTAACCTTATCTTCTATATAGCTATTTTAGTATTTAATATATATAAGTAGTTTAACCTACTTTAAGTATATAAAAAGGTATATAATAATAAAGATTAGTATAGTTTTATAAGTATAACTATAATAGATAATAGTAAATAGATTATTCTAAATAATATATAAAAAGGGGTTATACTATATAAATAGAGATTATTAATAACCTTAAAGCTAGCCTATTTAGTATATTTTAATAAAGTATTCTAGTTTATTACTTAACCTTAGGTTTAGAGAATAGACTATTAGTAACTATTTAGTAAACTAGGTATATATACTAGTTAACTAAACCCTTCTTAATAACCTATTTACTATTAGTATACCTATAGTTAATAAATAGTTTATTACTCCCTCTTTAGTATAAGTTATACTATTAACTTAATATAGATAGTAAGATTATACCTAACTATTTATTTAACCTTACTTATATATATAGCTAATAGACTATTTAGAACTCTCCCTTTATTAATTAATACCTTAAGTATTAAGGTTACTTAAATAGACTATTCTATATACCCTTTCTATACCTAGTTAATAGTAATATAAATAGAATATTTATAAGATTCCCTTTATAGATTAATATACTTATTATTATATTATATTTAAGTAATTATCCTTTTATTTACTATATACTATATACCTTAATAATAATAATTAAATAGTATATAATTATTAATAATATATAATAGCTTTCTAGCTAGTAGAGATTTATTACCTTACTCTTATAATATATAGTAATAATATAAGTAAGATAGTATAGAAGCTATAATATAGTTTAGTTTTAATTAGGTATTACTACCTATAATATATTAAATATCTATATATTAGGTTAGGCTTAATTAGCTAGTATATAGCTTATTAAATTAGGTAGAACTAGTATTATAGTTTATATAAATATACTTTTCTAGTAATAGTAATTATTAAAATATAAGTTATAATTAACCTATTTAATTATTAATAGTAAAGTATTCTTAATAATACCTATAATATTACTACCTTATTATCTTATTCTATATAAATACTATAAATTTATAAAAAGTCTTAATATATATATTCTATACTTATATTATATATATTATACTAGAATTTATTTTAGTAGCCTTTTATTATACCTTCTATTTATTACTAGATCTTTAAATATGTGATGGACTAGCCCTAGAGGGGCTTCGGGGGCAACCAGCCCTGCGGCCATTAAGGGCGTAAGCCCTAACCCCCTTGACTATAAGGCTAAAAGGATTCGTAATAACAATACTGGCACGATTGTTGTCTGGTTGCACCTATAAGGGTTCTCTTCCGCGCTAGCTACTATGGAAGGCGCTGGGCTAGAGCCCAG